TGGATAAGTCAGCATTGTGTACTTGATCTCCAGCTTGTCCCCGGCTCACCAACACTCCTTCACCAGCCGTGGTTATCGACCAGCCAGTGATCGCTCCATAGATTGTAGCGGCAGCCAATTTGTTTACATTGTGTGCACCGTGATCCACATGAAATCGGATAAAAAATCACGAGCATAACATTATTGCATTACATTACATAATTTTCCCATAAAGGGTTATCACAAATGTTGTGAAAATAGCCAGAAGTGCGATCTCCTGACACGGGGAACAGAATGTTTCAGGGGAACACAATTTCTCACAACACCTGACCTCCCGGCTGACATCATCCCTCCTCTGTGTGTGTGAATGTGAATCGTGACAGCTTCAAGAACAGAACTAGCTTGCTTCCTTCAGACCTGGTAAGTTGATAAAACAGTCATAATTATAAATGATTTTTAAAGAGGTTGAGTAGCTTGTTTTAAACTTTGTGTGGGTTATGCTAGACAGGTTGGAAACTGATTATACACTCAAACTCATGAGTGAGCCACCATAGCTGCAATACTTTCTCTGAACTGCATGGCGCTAAACAGTCACATTTTTTCTTCATGATTTCAATGGATTTCACACATGGGGCCTTTAAGGACAAAATAAAAAAAATTCTAAGCAGTACATTTAAACTGATATGCTTAGGGCACTTAAGGTAAATGATGGGAGCTCCCAGCAAGTGCAGCGCACTGGTGGAATAAATCCTGGAAATCTCCTCTATCCCGTGAGGTCAGGGTTTTGGCGAACCTCAAATCAGCTTCCATCCAGCTCCCTGCCACAGCTCCAGATTGCTCTGCTGAACATCCGCTCGTTGGGGAACAAGACAGCTATCCTAAAGGATTTTTACACCGATAACGCTGTGAGCCTGTTCTGCATGACGGAGACGTGGGCTCTGCCAGGTGAGACGGCCTCCTTGGTCGAACTCTGTCCTCCTGACTGTAACGTTGTTAATGAACCAAGACACTCTGGCCGGGGGGGAGGGGGGGGGGGGCTCTTACTGTCCCAGTACTGTTCAAATCTCCCACTTAAACCTCTTGCTGGGCTGATGGCTCCGACCAGTTTTGAAGTCTCAGTATTAGAGCTGGGCTTCTCTCCTCCCATCCTCGTTTTACTGTGTTACAGGCCACCAAGATACAATAAGGATTTAATAAATTAATTCTCCAACCTTTTAGCTGATATTCTCCCAAAATATGAATGGGATTATTTTGGGTGATTTTAATATCCACATCTGCTGCCCTCTGAAACCACTGGTGAGGGATTTTATCAATGTTTTAGTCTCATTTGGACTACAGCAATTGGTAAATGTTCCCACACATGCTGACTCTCACACCCTGGATTTGGTTTTATCTTTTGGACTGGATGTGCATGATTTATCTGTGGATCCTGTGGCGTTTTCCGACCATGCTGTGATCACGTTCAGCATTTCACGTCTCCTTCCTCCAGCCCGGCGACGATCTGCCCGTTACTCCAGGCGCTTATCTCCAAGTACGACTTCCAACTTTCTGTCTGTTTTGGACACTGATGCCCTCGCTCCGCTCTTGTCAGTTTCCTGCATGGATTTAGATGGCCTTCTGCATCGGTTCAGTGTGACCTGCTCTGCTGCTCTGGACGCTGTTGCCCCTCTGAGACCGAGGCGGAAACAGACAACATCCGACCCTTGGCTGAATGATTACACACGTAGCCTCAGGCGACAGTGTAGGGTGCTGGAACGGAGGTGGAAGAGAGATAGTCATGCTCTCGGCTGCTCCTGGTTGATGCACTTTCACGCTACCAGAGAGCAGTTAGATCTGCTCGTAATAACTATTTTTCTGCTATCATTTCACAGCATCATGGAGATCAGTCTAGGCTGTACAGCACAATCAACTCCCTGCTACTGTTAAATGAGTCTGATGGTCTAAATCCCACTGTTGCTTTATGCACAGAGCTACAGAGCTTTTTCCTTAACAAGATCTTTGGTATTAGGCTTAGCCTCCAGCCTCAAATACACACTATCCATGTGGAACCGCCGGACCCACCTGCCTTCTCAGACTTTGCTCCAGTTCAGCTTGCTGACTTGATGAAACTGATTAGCTCCATGAAACCAGCTGGCTCTTCGGTGGACTGCCTCCCAGCTAAATTGGTGCGTGACTCAGTGTCTGCACTGAGCCTGGCACTTATGAACATTTTTAACATTAGCCTCAGCACTGGAGTGTTCCCTAAGGTTTTTAAAGATGCGGTTGTTCAGCCGATATTGAAAAAACCTGTTTTGGATCCCTCCACTTATGAGAATTTCCGCCCTATATCGAAAGTCCTGTTTCTCTCGAAGGTCCTTGAGAAAATTGTGCATGGTCAGATCTCTGCTCATATGAACAATAACTCATTGTTGGATGTGTTTCAGTCAGCCTTTAGGCCACACTATAGCACTGAGTCTGCTTAAATTAGGGTGCTAAATTACATTCTGGTGGCATCTGACTCTGGGTCTAGGGTACTGCTGCTCCAGCTAGACCTTTCAGCGGCTTTTGATACGGTCGATCACCATATTTTACTGGATCGGCTTGGGTCTTGGGTTGGGGTGACGGGGGTGGCGCATAAATGGTTCCGCTCCTACCTATCAAACTGTTCCATCTCTGTACAGATTGGTGACTGTGCATCCTCCTGTCTTCCACTGCCTTGGGGGGTGCCACAAGGTTCTGTTCTTGGGCCATTGCTGTTTTCTATCTACCTTCTGCCTCTGGGCAATATCCTGAATCAGAGATTTCGACTAATAAATGACCTGAAAAACTACCAGTGCGCACCGCCTAGAAAAAGTATTTAAAAATGGTATGCCGAGAGGTTAGAGAGTTTGAAGTGGCGGTGCAAGTTGCTGCAAACTGAACCCACTTAAAGCACAGCTTTCAGTCCCTATATTCAGACTTCGGTCCATATATTCATACTTTCAGTCCATATATTCATACTTTCAGTCCATATATTCAGACTTCGGTCCATATATTCAGACTTTCAGTCCATACATTCATACTTTCAGTCCATATATTCAAACTTCGGTCCATATATTCAGACTTCGGTCCATATATTCAGACTTCCAGTCCATATATTAAAACTTCGGTCCATATTTTCAAACTTCGGTCCATATATTCAGACTTCGGTCCATAAATTCAGACTTCAGTCCATATATTCAGACTTCAGTCCATATATTCAGACTTTCAGTCCATATATTCAGACTTTCAGTCCATATATTCAGACTTTCAGTCCATATATTCAAACTTTTGTCCATATATTCAAACTTTTGTCCATATATTCAAACTTTTGTCCATATATTCAAACTTCGGTCCATATATTCAGACTTCGGTCCATATATTCAGACTTTCGGTCCATATATTCACACTTTCAGTCCATATATTCAAACGTTGGTCCATATATTAAGACTTTCAGTCCATATATTCAGACTTCGGTCCATATATTCAGACTTTCAGTCCATATATTCAGACTTTCAGTCCATATATTCAAACTTTTGTCCATATATTCAAACTTTTGTCCATATATTCAAACTCTTGTCCATATATTCAAACTTTTGTCCATATATTCAAACTCTTGTCCATATATTCAAACTTCGGTCCATATATTCAGACTTCGGTCCATATATTCAGACTTCGGTCCATATATTCAGACTTTCGGTCCATATATTCACACTTTCGGTCCATATATTCAAACGTTGGTCCATATATTAAGACTTTCAGTCCATATATTCAAACTTCGGTCCATATATTCAGACTTCGGTCCATATATTCAGACTTCGGTCCATATATTCAGACTTTCGGTCCATATATTCACACTTTCAGTCCATATATTCAAACGTTGGTCCATATATTAAGACTTTCAGTCCATATATTCAGACTTCGGTCCATATATTCAGAAGTATTCTGGTATAAATATATAATTCCTGAATGGCATGCCATATATATATATGTGTGTGTGTGTGTGTGTATATATATGGACACATGTATATACACACACACACATATATATATATATATATATATATATATATATATATATATATATATATATACACACATATATATATATATATACAAACATACATATATGTATATATATATATATATATATATATATATATATATGTGTATATATATATATATATATATATGTGTGTGTGTGTGTATGTATATAATATGTAAAACATTTGTGTGTGTGTATGTATGAATTGCCACCCTAGAAAAATGTTTGCCCCTCTTCTGTCACCTCATAAATAACTTTCTAGATCTGCCCCCCCCCCCCCACCCCCCCCCCACCCCATCTGCTTTAGCCACTCCTCCAATTTGAGGGTTACTGCCCCGATGGCCTCTGCGACCACGGTTTTGCTCTGGTGTTCATGGCCTGTTCCTATGCAGCCATAATGCTCAAGAACATGATATATGTGTGTGTATATGTGCGTTTGTGTTTATGTGTCTATTGATTGAGAGAGAATTGTCCTCTCTCCAGTGTTTGCTTATCAGTGATATGAAGTCAGTGGAGAGGCAGAGCTTGGACAGCCTTCTTGGGCTCCCCTAATTTATTACATTTGTTTCAGCAGAGACTCAGCTCCCTCTTCATTCGTCTAACCTTTTCTGATTCATAATAAAAGCAGCTACTCTAGATCATGGGTAAAAGTTTAACAAGATCAATAATCACCGCTTTTGCTTAGTTAACTAAATGTTAACATTAGCTACAGAATGCTAAGAGCTTTGATGGATTAAATGCAGCTTCTCTTAAAGAGTCTCTGCTGAGATTAATGCATGATTCATTGTTTGTAAAGTCAAATTATTTAGAACTGTTATTGATATTTTATTTCTGTCCGTCTGTCTGTCTGTCTGTCTCTCTCTCTCTCTCTCTCTCTCTCTCTCTCTCTCTCTCTCTCTCTCTCTCTCTCTCTCTCTCTCTCTATCTCTATCTCTATCTCTATCTCTATCTCTCTCTCTCTCTCTCTCCATCCATCCAGTATCAGATGAGGAACTTTTGCACTTGGAAATATGGTGCAGTCTACCTATTATTGGTGCTGGGTGTTTTAATCCTGTTGCAGCATAAAGAGTTGACTGAAATGAGGACCTTTATTCGACCAAAGGTAAGTGTCCATCACATTAATCATAACTGACCATGAATAAAATAAACTTTGAGCAAAACAGTAGCCACGTTTACATGCGCATATTTAATCAGATTGAACACCCAATCAGATCAAAAATTCTGCATGTAAACATGTCATTCGGAATAATCTGATCTGATTCGGCCCAATCGGATTGAAATTTCTATCCGATTGAGAGAGGTGGTTTATTCCGTTCATCATTCCGATTGACGTGCATGTACACAGCCATTCGGATTGTTGGGGTAAAATAATGTCCACTGTGCATGTGTGCAACAGCGAGCGGGCCTCTTCGCTGTCATTTGGACTGCCTGACTTTAAAAATGACGGCGTAATTAACGAGCGGCGGCTTTTAAATCCGATGACAAGCCGTCCCTGTTTCAGTAATATTTAATTCAGAACTTGCATTTTGTGGAAGTAAAATAAAAATCTGATTATTGCACAAATCATTCGACAAACATGTTCAAATCTGTACTGGAAACACGCAGGTTTATTGCAGGGGTCGCAGCGCACGGATCCCCGTTTCTGTCAGCTTTGAATGCAGCAGCTTCTGCAGCAGATGATGGAGACGCGCTTGTAAAGAACACAGGATAATATGGGTTTTACAGACCTGATTGGTGGCTGATGTTGGGTAGGAAAACGTCCTCGGTGAAATACTCTGGACGACAGCAAAGTCCGTGTTAAAAGCACATTAACGCAGATGACCTGAGATGTGGTTCGTTAATGATGAACACAGGCTTCTAAACTTTCTGAACATCGTCTGTTATTTTGTTTGAGCAGATTTTTCTCAACAATTTCAGCTGATTGTCACATGTTATTAATAATAAGCCATAACAGAGCTCAGTAATAAAACATGAGTCTAACCCCCACCCCCCCACCCCTGCTCTGTGGCGCAGCGCAACAGCACAGCTGTCACTTCAGACCCGTGGACCAGCTTATCAAGAGGCAGAGACATAACCCTCCCTTATTTTAATCAACAATAAAATGCAGCAAAGCATATATCTGCAGTTAATTCACTGAAGAAAACGTAACTTCTATGAGCTAAATAAAAATATTAAATAGAATAAATGAATCAGGAAAGCAGGAAGAATTGTTATTTCTGTTTTTACATTTTTCATTTCGTTTCATGGCGTTTGTTTACAATTTTTCTTTCGGGAAAGGCAACTCTGTGCATGCTCGACCTGTTTAATCGGATTAAATGTTTGGTGCATATGTACGCGCGGCATGATCAGATCATTTCAGTTCATGTCCATTTGAACAGAGATTCGGAAATTCCGATCAACCAAGATTTCAATCGGATTGAGGAAATTTGGCACATGTCAACGTGGCTAGTAATTCAGTAAATCTTTTGTTAAGATCTCATTCCTTTCCACCCCAGCAGACACATTTTTACTTTTGTAAAGGGATGCACAATGTTTTATAAAACGATGAGCCCAAACATCTATTGTAACAACACAAAGTTTTATACTTAGGGTTAGGGTGGGTGGGTTAGGGTTATTAAATCCATTAATGGTCAGAATTTAGTATGTTTAGTTAAATATGTGACTTTGATTCTTGTTTTTTAATCCTCTCAACTTTTCTTTAGTTTGAAAGTAAAGTTGAGGCAACCCCTGTGTCAAAAGTAAAGAGCCCCCCGACTGTTTCCAATGACACTCACAGGCCTAGCAGTCCATGCTCCTTCCATCCACTAATCTCAAACAACGCTGTTGACCTTCTACAAGATTTAAAGTCGTGGCCCAAAACTCCACCTTTACCATCTCCCTTTTCCATGAATACAACCAGTGATCCCGCTCATAGCTACTTCACCGTTCTCCCGCGGAAAGGAGGTGGAAGTTGGCACACAGGAGAAGAACTGGAGGTCTTGATAAACATTAACGACTTTCATGGTAAGCCCAAGAAGACTGGAGGAGATGTCTTATTTGCTCGTCTGTACAGTCAAAAGCTCCATGCAGGTGTGGCAGGGCAAGTGGTTGATCATCTCAACGGTTCCTATTCTGCTTTCTTCTCTTTACTCTGGGAAGGAAGTGCACAAGTTGAGGTAATCCTAAATGATAGATGGAATTTAGCTAATAGATGATGTCTTTATGTCAAGTTAATTGTCCATCTGCAATAAAATTATTAGACTTTATTTTTGATTGCAGACTCTAAAATCATGTCCGATGGTGAGTTTTACAGAAAATGTGTGTTCTGTCATCACAGGTGACCCTAGTTCACCCCAGCGAGGCAGTCACAGTGCTGCAAAAGCTAACCCAAGAGCAGCCTGACAGGATTTATTTCCAAAGCCTTTTCAGTTCAGGATCAGTCTCTCAAACTACCACCTGCAACGTGTGCCTCAATGCAACCCAGGAGAAAGTCTGCAATTACACTGACCTCAACACAGGTGAGCAGTGGTTCTGCTACAAGCCAAAGAACTTAGCCTGTGATACGAGGATGACCCATGCCAAAGGAGGATTCAAGCAAAAACTCACACCAATGGAGGAAAAACTCTTTCAAAGGCAAGTCCGATCTTCTTTCTTTGGAAAGCTTAACTAAGGATTCCGTGCACAGTTTTATAAATTAGGTCCCGGATCTTCATCCATTTCTTTGAGTAACTGTAATGTAATGTGAGTAATTGAACAGTTTGTTACTTTTATGATTTCTGAAAGGTTTTTGTTTTGTGTCTGCTTTGATTTAGGAACGTGAACATGAAAGTGTCCATTCCAGCTTTAGGACCTGCAAACATCACTGTGTTGCCAAAAATGAAAGGTAACATGTTTTTGCCGCCACCACTAAAATATAAAGCCATTGATCACTGGCACACACACACACACACACACACACACACACACACACACACACACACACACACACACACACACACAGCTAAATGCCTAACCAAAACAAATCTATTAACATTTAAGCTGCCTTCTGATCAAACAGGAAGAAAAAACAAGACTCCAAAGAGTAGCCCATCTGGATATTACTACCAGGGTGAGTGGCAAGCATTGGCTGGCACGGTAGTGCAACATTTTAACAATTCCACAGCAATGAGCCAATGTCTGAAAGGGAAGGTGGTCCACCTGTATGGAGACTCCACCATCAGGCAGTGGTTTGAATACCTCAGTCACTCACTGCCAGGTAGGTGCCTTGCAGGAATGTCTGGCACCAGTCTGAATGGATCCATGCTGAATCGGTTCTCTTTGTTATTCTTTCAGATCTCAAAGAGTTTGAGCTGACATCATCAAGGCAAAATGGACCATTCATGGCTTTGAACTTTGCAGAGAACACCTTAGTGACATACCATTGCCATGGCCCTCCCATCCGTTTTGCCAGTGTCCCAGTTACTCAGCTGCGTTATGTTGCCAATGAACTGGACAGAGTCAATGGAGGCACCAACACTGTGGTTGTTCTTAGCATCTGGTCACACTTTAGCACTTTTCCTATTGAGGTTTACATCCGACGGATCCTGAGCATTAGGAAGGCAGTGATGCGGCTGCTGACTCGGGCTCCAGGAACACTGGTCGTCATCCGAACCGCAAATCCCAAACAACTATCTCTTTATGAGGCACTGACCAACAGTGACTGGTATTCACTGCAGCGTGATAAGGTTCTCAGGGCCATATTTAAAGGAGTAAATGTCAAACTGGTGGATGCCTGGGAGATGAGTCTGGCCCATGAGCTGCCACACAGCCTCCACCCACAACCTCCAATAATCAAGAATATGATTGATGTTCTTTTGTCCTACATATGTCCTGTAGCAAGAAAGTGATGGTGATGCATTCAGAACAGCATTTTAGGCCACAGAGATTTGGACTAGGTATACAGGTAACCACTGGTGCTTGATCACATGTTCTTATAGCTTAATATATGAGCATTAACAACAATGGCTTCATTGTTGTTGTCGGTAAATGTCACAACACACGTTTCTGAATACTCCTCACTGCACTAACCACATCACTTGTCAGCTGTTGTGTCTAGTGACTAAACCGGGGTTTTCTCTCAGGGTATTGTTCGGTTTAAACTCCATCAATGAGTGTTAGGAGAAAAATCTTTTCAGACACAGATTTTTTACAGAATTTCTTGATTTAGCAAAGGCCCAATTGGGGTATCTGCTGGTTTGGAATACTTTATTGGTGAATCTATTTCTTTTATTTTAATTTGTCTTTGCAGCAGGGGTGGAGTTAGAGGGTGCCTATTTGGGCTCAAGCCCCAAATATTTTCTGAAAAGCTCCAAAACTAAATTTGAAGGGTAAAAATAAAAATAACTCACATGCAGTACCAAAATCCACAAGAGATGGTGCATCAGCGTAGTCTGCATACAGCCTGCTGGAGTTACCCCCGAACAAGTCATGCTTTAGTAGCAGTCTGCAGGCTGCATCTGAGACAGGATGACGTGACACAAGTTTTGTTTTTGGGACTGAAAACCCACAAAATAATGAAAACATCAGCTGTGATTATTCTGGTTCGTGCATTTTATTTAAAATCTGTCAATAAAGTTGTGTTAGTAAGAAAACTAATGATAGCAATAATGAAGGTTTCATGGGGCGAATCCGCACAAGCTGGGATGATTATTATAAGAGTGAAAAGCTGATTCTCCCTGGGTGACTTAAGAAGTTAAAAAGAGCAAAATAACTGTAGAGGTACTAAATAAAAAAATCTAATAAAATGACAAAAATACTTATTTGATTTTGTAAATGCATATATGGAAGATGTTTAATATTTTTTGTACTTTTTCATACTCTTCTCCCAATAAAATTAAATAAAGAAGGCTGTCTCTGAACTGTATTTAAAATGACAAAAGTAAATTTTAACTTGATGAAAATCATGAAATTTCTTAAATTGTGGTTAAACAGTAACATCTAAAAGACTAGCAAGGTGGGACCTATAAACTAATATTTAGTTGAACAGCATTTTGAGGGGATCACTCTAGCCAACTGTTTTCTGACTGAGTCAGACTTCTGCACCTGTTGTTGGGTGTTTTACCCATGTGATGAATGTACACATTAATAAAACCTTCAGATGCCAGATGTGTTTTTATGATGGTTTTATAATTTTTTTACTTTATGTAAATATTAGGACCAGCATCTTTGGATTGTCATCATGCCAGCAGCATATTCTGTTGCTGTACAATAATAACAAAGCTTTCAAATTCTAATGATTTTTGTTTAATTATATTTGAGCCTTTTTTATTTGTTTAATTTGAAGTCCCTAATTCTTTCTGGGACTGTTGTTATTTTTCTTTTTCACGAGATATTGTTAAATATAAGGATTAATGTAATAAACATGGCTCAAATCTTAACATACTGTCCAAGACAGGTTTTTCTTTTCTCAGTACTGTATAGAAGCTAACATACTTCTATAAATATAACATAATTAGATGTATTTATATCATATCATTTAATAAGTGTAATCTGGTGCTTTAAAGTGGCAGTGTGTAGTTTCCTGCCGCTAGGGGGAAGTACATACATACATTTCAGGGTAGTTTTACACCACATCTTCCAAACTGTTGCTAGTTTTAAAAAAACAGTAAATGTTACCTGTGGAGCAGGAAGCATGCAACCATGGCGTGACTCCTCAGACTTTGATGGTTTTTCAGGTAAGTCCATGAGATAATGCAATGCAGATTGTAGTTTTCAGGCGCTGTACTTTCCAGATTTGCTCAGAGGCTTGCGCCTGTTGATATATTATGGCAATACAGCTTGGTCAAAAACATTTAATCTCTTCTCATTTCTGTTCTTTCACATATGTTTTGGAAAGATTTTAGCAGTTTTGTTATTAAATTTGTGTTTCTTTCTGCCTAAATGTTTTTGAACGTGGTAACGCAACTTCCGAAAGTCCTACGTCCAGCCAATCATCTAGTGTGATTCATTGACACTTTAGACCAACACAATAAACTTTTGAGGATATTTTCAATAGTTTTATTTTTGCTGGTGCTTCACAAAGTACAATTTTGCCTCAAAACATCTCAAATTCTGTGCTACAACTACGCACTTGGCTTTAAAAACAAACAAAAATAAATATAAACCAACTCTTTACTCAGACTTGATCATCATTCTGGTGGACTTGGCTGAATAGGAATCTGGACCTCTCCAAGTCAGCCAGTGGAGGCCGGAAGACCATCCAACATTTTGACCATTAGGATGCCATTCACCGTTTAAACTAGCAGATCCACACTTGCTGTACCACCAACCACCACCGTCTATAGAGACACAATCCATTATAGCAATATCTCCAAAGATGCATGGTGAGCAGCCATCGTTGTCCCGGTCCACGGTACTGAAGCCATAACCGTTTTGGTCAATGCCTGGATAGGCGCCACGGATGGCATCACCTTTGTTCAGAAATAGAACCCATTTAGTTTACTGCTATCACAAAGACTTCCATCAGTTATTATTTCTAAAAACTACATCATGTCCAGTACCTGCGGTTCCTCTGTATTCCCCAACCTTCAGCTTGTAGGCTGATTGCTCATCTCCAAGTTTAAAGTTCTTGTACTCAGCATAAGCATTGCCACCTTCAAAGTCCCACAGGTCCACTCTAAGTGTCCACCTCTTGGTTGTGCCCTTAGTCAGAAGATAAACCTTCTCCAGACCGAGCCAGTGGTCCTCTGACAAAAATTAAATAGAGATTCTTCATTTTATTTCCTTCTACTTTCTATCCAACTATGCAAGTACTAGTACTACTAATGTTAGCAGAATTGGTAATAATATTATTTTAACATTTGATGGTTTGAGTATTATTTACGTACTCATTGGGTTTCCAAATCCAGTTTTATATGCTGCCCAGTCTTTGTCAAAAGACAAGCTTGCTCCAGTGCGCATCTGAAACACAGTCCAGCCTCCATCTACTCGCATCTCACAGTACGCCTGAAAGGACGAGCAAAGGGGAAATGTACTATTGTAGTAACAATTATTGTGTTGTTTTATAAACTAGTAACTAAAGTAAAGGGAGGTCTTTAATCAGTAAAGTGGAAAGATCATGAACAGAGTTTGATAAACGATCTGCACTTGTAGCTCAATTCTGAGTTAGACGACTCCAAAGCTCTTTATAATACAGTCATTCATTCATTCATTCACACACTGATGGTGATAAGCTACATTGTAGTCCCATCTGTGCCGGGGCACACTGACAGAAACCAGGCTGAAGTACACAGGCACTACCGGTCCCTCCAACCACCAGCAGCAGGCAAGCTGGGTTAGGTGTTATAAAACTGTGTTTGCGTAAACTGACATTTTTGGGGACTTGAATATGTTTTTATTAACATCGTGACTGGTCTCAATGTGACTTGTTATCTGTTTGATGAAAACTAGTTTCTACAAACTGAGGTTGTTCAAACAGTTAAGGGGCTAAATATTTATACCTTTTGAGTCCCTCCAGGAAGTTGTGATGTTTTGCTCAGAAATAGAAATTTGACAGGTTTTACTGTGAGCAACAAGTAATGATCTGCAAAATCCTGGAGATACTGAGTCTGACTCTGTAAAAAGTTATGAACCTCTAAGTTAAATACCTTAAAGGGAGCACTGGCTCCAGCAGGCTGGATGTCATAAACACCGCTGCGTGCTCGTTGTGACTGTTTTCTAATCTGTGAGCAGTCTGTTTAAAAAAAACAGAGGAAGTTCAAAGTAGATTTTGATATATTACATTAAAAATTTGATCCGACTGAAAATGATATTTATAGCATGTTGCTTACCTTCAGGAAAAACTGCTCCCTGCTTTGTGAAGAAGTTAAGAAAACAGTTTAAATGTGACATTTATTCACTGTAAAAACACATTTTAACAACAGAAATAATCTAGAGATGTTCAGATATTTACCACTGAGACGTTCAGCAGAAGCATCGACACAAGGCCACAGTAGGTGAGAAGGATCCTCATTTTGACCTAAAGGAGAGTCATGTTAGCTGTTAAACCTGCAAAAACATCCAGAGTTAAGGGTCTTCACACACTTACCTGCTTGTGGGTTCAACCTTGTTTCCCAGAATGAGCTCCTGAGCAGAAGCAGCACCTTTTAAACCCTGACCAAACCGTCACACCTCAGAATAAATATGTCAGTCCTGTCAGGTCAGACTGAGAAGCAATTCAACAACAGGCCATCCACAGTGTCCTCCCAGCCTCCCTTCTTCAAATGGGTTGTATAATAAAGTGTGACGAGTTTACTCACAAGAAACAGCAAAAACAGCATTCCAAGGCTAAAATGATACTTTATCACTCTAATGTTCATTCCTTTTGTGTTTATCTTTCTTCTGACACCGTCAGGTTTTAGTGTTTCTATTGTTATCTCAGTCCTCAGGCCAGTGTTTCTCATGTGTTACCAGGTTTAATGTGTTGTCCAATCTAACGCTGAGGTCAGAGATATGAATCTATAATCAGTGTAATGGTGGTTTTTCTGCATTATTTGACAGAATCATAGCTGATGGTGATGATCTGAACTCTTTTATTTAATATTTTCGTCAGCAGTGATATTGTGTTCTAGATCCAGTGGCTCCAGATTCCAGTATCTCACACAACAGTCCTTGGATGGTTGATTGTTTTAGGACATGTAACTTACATAATTTATCTAAAATGTTTTATTGTCTGTCTGTCTGTCTGTCTGTCTTGCCTAACTGGCAACTACATAGTGAAAATTAGGATCAGAAGACTGTCATTGTAAAACTGGAAGACCTGGTTCTCCTAAAGCAGTGTTTTTCAACCCTGGTCCTCAGCAACCCCCTTGTTGCCTCACAGCAAGGTCCTGGGCGCGCGTCCTGGGTTTGCATCCCGGTCTGAGGCCTTTTTGCGTGGGTTCCCTCTGGGTACTCCAGCTTCCTCCCACAGTCAAGAAACATGACCATCAGGTTAATTGATCTGGCTGGCTCTGTGTTGCCCTGCGATGGACTGGCAACCTGTCTGCCTGTTTGCCCATTGACTGCTGAAGATTGGTTCCAGCCCGGACACCCCCACCCCACCACCACCCCCGCCCCCCACCCCCGCGACACTGCATAAACACGCGGGTTCAGAAAATGAATGGATGGGTTTCTCTCCCATCAAAAATAGACTATCCACTCAATTTTTAAAAGAAGAAAATACCCCATCATCACAAAACAATGCTGTTCTGTTTCCATATCTTTAGTTTTTAAAATCTATGATGTAATAAAACAAAACTCTTGGAACATACATCTCTGCCCTAACACAAAGTAGATACTGCCAGTAATGCCAGATGTGGCCTACAGAAGGCACTATTGCACCTTCCCATAGATTTTACCATTGCTAAAACAAAAAACAAACAAACAAACAAAAACCACAACCCCACCTAGATAAAAGGACAAGAAACTAAAGTACATGCAAGTTCACTCTATAAAAGGACAGACGTGGTTCCAAAAAAGGTGCAGAGTTTATTAAACAAAGGATAAGATCTCAGTAAAAAGAATAAAAGCTCTACTAAAATGTATTAAAACAAAATGCTAAAACTGCTTAAGTATCCAGGCTGAGGTTTGGGGACCAGTCAATAACTGAGAGACTGAACCCCAATAATGAAATAAAATCAAAGACAACCCAAACACTCTTGAACATTTATTCAGCCACCATCTGCAGCTTTCAAGCCTGCATGGGACACAGGAAACAGGAAATGACATACCTTTATTTTTTTTACCAGTTACTAAAAATCTTTTATTTCCAAAAGTTTCCAGATGTTTTACAGTGCTTTTGTGAGTTTGAATCGTTCTGAAAGAATAGCGCATGAAAAATAGACTCAAAGCTTCAGCAACGCATTCCTAAATTTCTGGGACGGGTCCAAAATGTAAAACTTCATGCAACTCAATGTGGCAAATGGTAGTGCACTGAATATTTGTAGATCCTCCTTTTGCAGAAATAACAGCCTCTAACAATTCTCAGCTACCAGTAAGAGTCTGGATTCTGGTTGAAGGTATTTTGGACCATTCTTCTGTACAAAACATCTCTAGTTTATTCAGGTTTGATGGCTTCTGAGCATGGACAACTCTCTTTAATTCGCACCACAGATTTTCAATAATATTCAGGTCTGGGGACTGAGATGACCATTACAGAATGTTCTACTTGTTCCTCTGCATGAATGCCTTAGTAGATGTTGAGCAGTGTTTAGGGTCATTGTCTTGTTGAAAGATCTAGCCCTGGTGCAGCTTCAGCTTTGTCACTGATTCCTGGACATTGGTCTCCAGAATCTGCTGATATTGAGTGGAATCCATGCGTTCCTCAATTTTAACAAGATTCCCAGTCCCTGCACTGGCCCACAGCATGATGGAACCATCACCATGTTTTAACTGTAGGCAGCAGGTGTTATTCTTGAAATGCTGTCTTCTTTTTCCTCCATGGATAATGCTCCTTGTTATGCCCAAATAACTCAATTTTACTTTCACCAGTCCACACCACCTTATTCCAACATGAAGCTGGCTTGGACCCAGGGTCCAGACCGGGAAGCAGAGTCGTAGTTTAACACACCCCTCTGCAGCTTCTGTACTGTTACCCACCCACTACCCCATAGAGACAGTGTCCTGCCCACGGCCCAAATCACACAGATTAAATATCAGGCTTAATAAAGCAAATCATGGAAATCTCATAAATATTAGAGCAAATTCAACTGAGCAGAAAATTAGAAAAATTAAATGTGGGTAACTGAACATTAGCTCTATTTTTTCTAAGACTGTTAGTTAATGACTTGATTTGTGATAATCAGATTTCTTTGCTCTCTCTCAAAGAATCCTGGCTGCAGCAAGAGGACTGTGTTAGTTTAAATGAGTCGACTCCTTCTAATTATTAAAATCATATTGCTCGAAGTACAGGGCGAGGAGGAGTAGCAACCATTTTTCATTTGGACTTATTAATCAAGCCCTTACAAATTAATAGCTACAGTTCGTTCGAACATCTTATTCTTAGTTTTCCTAATCCAGATTGCAAAACTGTGAAACCACTCTTGTTTGTAGTTTTATATCATCCACCAGGCCCTTACTCTGAGTTTTTGAATCAGATCTCTGATTTTTTAATCTGATTTGGTGCTAAATACTGATAAGGTCATTGTAGTGGGGGATTTTAACATTCATATGGACGTTGAAAATGATAGCCTCAATGTAGCCTTTTGTTGAGAAGCAACATGTTTTCTTTAAACTAAAGAGTGTTCATGCAGGAATGCAATCTGTGTTAAACATGAATTTGTTTGTTAACCTCAGGAGGTGTCCTCTGTGGCAACCATTTTGAAACAGCTGCCTTTATATAGTGAAATGCCTGAGTGGACTGAGGTGATTGACCGACCTGAATTGGAGGGGGGGTCGGAGAGTATATAGGTGGACTGCTGGGTGTGGCAAGGGTTCTTTCTCTTTGAAAGTGACAGAGACTGGAAGAGAGTTGGATGGGTGGCCATTTTGAATAGTGCTGGGATTTTCTGATTTTGTTTTTTTTGGACCAGAGGAAATTAAATTGGTTTTCCTTGTTTATCAACCAAGTCATCATGTTTCTTTTGTCCTCACTACACTTCATTGTGTAACACCTTTAGTAATATCTGGAACGCTTTGAACTGGCGTTAGAGATGACGTGGCATAGTTTTATACTTCGAATGTTATGGTTTATAGTCGAATGAAAAGTTGAAGGGTTACCAAACACCATCAAAACCACGCCTCCGTATGATCTGTCAGATTCTGATTGGATCAGTGAAAGTAATGTGTCATGTCTTTTAACGCTACGTGAAATCAGTCCTGTTGGAACATTTAAAGTCATAGTACCTTTATAATCTATAGGATTATAATAAAGTAATTAATATTTTGATTTCACAGATCGGTCACATCTTATATATTGACTAACACTTTGCTTGATTAGCTAATTAAAATAGAGTTATTTGAGTAATTAAAAGAAAAGAATCCATTCTTCATTCTTCTGTTGTCTCTGAGTGAATACGAAGCTGTTATCTAATCCCTGCATTAAAAAGTTCCAATCTTCTGGTTTAATTAACCTTACAGATCCATAAGGTGGATTTCATATTTCCTATGGAATCCGACGCCTTATGGCTTATTAAATAACATGTAATTTAATTCATTACAGAATGGTGAGCCTAGCCAGATATTTGTACATTTTGGACACTTCTTACTCATTTGGAGACATTTTTAGACAGTAAAACACTAAGGCCCTGTCCACACATAGCCGGGGATCTGCCAAAACGTAGATATTTTTCTACATTTTGGCCTGTCATCCACACGAAAACTGAGTTTTTTCACACCAAAACGGATCTTTTTAAAAACTCCGGCCAAAGTGAAGATCTGCGTTTTCTCCATTTTGGGTGTCTGCGTGTGGACAGACAAAACCGGAGTTTGAAGGTTCGCAACGTCACTTTCCGCGACAAAAAAATGCTGACATCACGTGTGCAACCTGTGTTTACACTAGCCGACAGCATGGATGCCCTCAGAGCTGCGCTCGTTTTATCAATTGTCCAAGCGCTTTTTGCTTGTTTGTTTTTGCAAGTGGAATTACTGCTCCCTGCGGAAGACCACAGACGAAGGACGAGGTTAAGAACGGGGGAAGTACTGCCGCCTACAGGTCTGGCATGTTCTTAACAACGTATTTATCCGGGTACGTGTGGACAGAGTTTTTATTTAAAACGAGGTGGTGTGGATGCAAGTTTTTGGAGGGGCGGATATTCGTTTAAAAAAAAACCCGGCTACGTGTGGACTAGGCCTAAAACTGATGTATCTGGTTGAAAACGGGACAATCTCGTACTGCGACTAGAGTGCAGCATGTCCATTTAAAACAAAAGGGGGGTAACACTGTTCACCTCCCACAAGGAGGCACTGATTCATCTCTCTTCATCTAAGTCTGGGTCATACACAGCCATTTTGATTCCATCTAAAGCCATTGGGGTTTCTAGCAACGAATGGATTTTTTCCTGCTGCCATCTGAAATGTAAATATATGTTTAAATATGTTTTTGGAGTGATTTGTGACACTGTGTGATAACTTGTGAAACAGAGATAGAGATCTCCACCGGGAGTTCGCTTCCAGATCGCCGATTTAAACGGTGATCAGGTGTCATCTTTGGACAGTTGGTCAGCTTCTGTAGCTCCAGGTTCTGCCCTCCTCAGCTCGTCCACAGGCCCATTGTATTCCTGGTGGGCCGGTCCCGAGGTCTCAGCTGGCTGCAGAGAATCAGAGTTTGAATGCGGACAAGGAACCGGATAATACTCATTGTCCTCGTCGGAGTCGGCCTCTGGTGTCTCAGATGACCTGG